TATAGTTCCCTTGCTTTTCCTTATCACCTTTCTTAAATAAAGGCACAACATTAGCCAGTCTCCAGTCCTCCGGCACCTCATTCGTAGCTATAGATGATACAAATATCCCTGCTGGGGCCCTGCAATTTCTTTCCTAGCTTCCCACAATATCCTGGAATACACCTGATCTGATCCCACAGACTTATACACTTTTATGCATTTTAAGACCTCCAGCACCTCCTCCTCTGTAAGGTGGACCCTTTTCAAAACATTAATATTTATTTTCCCGAGTTCCCTCACCTCCATGTCTTTCTCCACAGTAAATACTGATGCGAAATATTCTTTTGGCATCTCTCCCATTTACTGTGGTTCCATACATAAACAACCTTATTGATCTTTAAGGGGCCCTATTCTCTCCCTAGTTGCTCTTTTGCTCTTAATATACTTGTAGAATCTCTTTGGATTATTCTTAACCTCTTAACCTTGTTTGCCAAGGCTACCTCATATCCCCTTTCAGCCCTGATTTCCCTCTTAAGAATGCTCCTATATCCCTTATACTCTTCAAGAGATTCACTTGATCCAAGTTGTCTATACACAACCTATGCCTCCTCCTTCTTCTTGACCAGAGCCTCAATATCTTTATTCATCCATTGTTCCCTACTCTTACCAGCCTTACCCTTCACTCTAACAGGAACATAATGAGTCTCTGAACTCTCGTCATGACACTTTTGAAAGACTCCCACTTGCCAGTTGTCCCTTTATCTGCAAACAGTCTACTCCAATCAGCTTTAGAAAGTTCCTGTCTCATACCATCAAAGTTTGCCTTCTTCCAATTAAGAACGTTTAACTTTTATACAAGGCCTATCCTTTTCCATAACAATTTTAAAACTAAAAAAATTGTGATAAGTGGTCCCCAAGTGGTGCTCCCACTAACAATTCAGTCTCTTGCCCTGCCTTATTTCCCAAGAGAAGGTCCTTTTCCAGTAAGTACATCTACATAAGAACAGAAGAACACAACAACAAATAGGAGCAGGAGTAGGCCATCCGGCCCCTCGAGCCTGCTCTGTCATTCAATAAGATCATGGCTGATCTTTTCATGGCCTCAGCTCCACTTACCCGCCTGCTCACCATAGCCTTTAATTCCTTTACTGTCTTAGCTCTAAAAACATTCAATGAGGAAGCCTCAACTGCTTCACTGGGCAGGGAATTCCACAGACTCACAATCCTTTGGGTGAAGACATTCCTCCACAATTCAGTCCTAAACCTGCTTCCCCTTATTTTGAGGCGATGCTCCCTTATTCTAGTTTCACCCGCCAGTGGGAACAACCTCCCTGCTTCTATCTTATCTACTCCCTTCATCATTTTATATGTTTCTATAAGATCCCCCCTCATTCTTCTAAACTCCAATGAATATAATCCCAGTCTACTCAGTGTCTCCTCATAAGTCATTTATAATCGGTCAGCACAACATCGTGGGCCAAAGGGCCTGTACTGTGCTGGACTGTTCTACATTCTATATTCTAAGTCAACCCTCTCAACTCTGGAATCAACCTAGTGAATCTCCTCTGCACCCCCAGTGCCAGTACATCCTTTCTTAACTAAGGAGACCAAAAGTGTACACAGTACTCCAGGTGTGGCCTCACCAGCACCCTATATAGCTGCAGCATAACCTCCCTGTTTTTTTTAACTCCATCCCTCTAGCAATGAAGGACAAAATTCCATTTACTCTCTTAATTACCTGTTGCACCTGCAAACCAACCTTCTGTGATTCATGCACAAGGACACCCAGGCCCCTCTTTACAGCATCATACTGCATTTTTTCACCATTTAAATAATAGTCCATTTTGCTGATATTCCAACCAAAATGGATGAACTCACATTTACCAACCAGACCCTTGCCCACTCACTTAAACTATCCATATCCCACTGCAAACTTTCAGAGCCCTCTGCACACTCTGCCCTACCACTCATCTTAGTGTCATTCGCAAACTTTGACTCACTACATATGGGCCCCAACTCCAAATCATCCACATATCAATAAAGAAAACGTTCTTGAACATATTTAACAAATTCCTTACCATCCAAGCCCCTAACACTATGGCAGTCCCAATCTATGTTTGGAGAATTAAAATCTCCTACTATTACAACCCTCTTATTCTCACACATGAGATCTCTCTATATATTTGCTCCTCAGTTTCCTGCTAACTACTGGGGGGCCTACAGTACAATCCCATCAAGGTGATATCCCCTTCTTATTTCTGAGTTCCACCCATATAGCTTAACTGGATGATCCCTCAGAAATATCCTCCCTACGTGCAGCAGTATTGTTTTCCCTAATCAAAAATGCAGCACCCCCTCCTCACTTGCCTCCCCTTCTATCCTTCCTATAGCATCTGTATCCCAGAACATTGAGCTGCCAGCCCTGTCCATCCCTCAGCCATATTCCTGTAATAGCTATGACATCCCAGTCGCATGTTCCCATACAATCCCTGAGTTTATCTACCTTACCTTGCTTTGAAATAAATGCTTCAGAGTTAATTAATTCTTCAGAGTTACGTTGTTCTCTGACTCACTCTTGCCTGCCTTGTCTAATTAACTTCCTCTTTTTAACTTCAGAACCAGCCTCACCTGTCTTGCTATTCTGACTACTATTTAGAATATCCCCCCTCCCCACTAATTTAAAGGCTCCTGAATAGAATGAGTAAATCTCCCCTCCAGGATTTTGGTCCCCCTCCTGTTCAGGTGAAACCCGTTCCCCTTGAACAGGCTTTTTCTACCCCAGAAGAGATCCCGATGATCCAAGAATCTGAATCCTTGCCCACTGCACCATCTCCTCGGCCGTTGATTCATCTGCCCTATCTTCTTATTCCTCCCCTCACCAGCATGTGGCACCGGGAGTAATCCAGAGATTGATATCTTTGAGGTTCTGCTTTTTAACCTTCCAGCTAACTTCCTATATTCACTCTGCAAAGCCTCAACCCTTTCTCTCTGACTGTCCTATGTCATTTCTCACCAATATAAGTGAGGTTATGTAAACGAGAGTTATGTGTCCCAAATGTAGAAGGTCTGGAGCAGGGAAGGTCGAGGGGGACTGCCAGAAGTGGGATAGACAGGGTAGATAGAAAGCAGCTGTCCCCCTTATTTCAGGGTCAATAATGGGGGGGCACGATTTTCAGGTGAAAGACAGGACATTTAGAGGGGATTTGAAGGTAAGGTTTTTCAGCCAGAGCACGGTACAGTTCTGGAATGCTCTGCCTGGGAGGGTAGTTGACATGGGAAACCTCACAACCCTTAAAAAGTTCCTGGATGAACACTTGAAATATCACAACATTCAAGGCTGTGGGCCTAGTGCTGGAAACGTGGGACTACGGTAGGTAGTACAGACTCTGGGCCAAAGGGTCTCTTCTGATCTGTACAATTCTATTGGTTCTAAGAGATTGGGAGGGATCAGGATTTTGAAAGTTGCCAATGGGGTTGGTGTAGAGTTTTTCTATCTCGGACAAAGGGACTTCAACTTAGAGACAGTCACTTCTTTTTTATTTATTCAGAGGATGAGGGCATCGCTGTCTAGGCCCGGCATTTATTGCCCATCCCTAATTGCCCAGAAGGCAGTTAAGAGTTAACCACATTGCTGTGGGTCTGACCAGACCAGATAAGGATGACAGAATTCCATCCCTCAAGGTCATTAGTGAACCAATTGGGTTCTTACGACAATTGATGAGACTAGTTTTTAATTCCAGATTTTGGGGAAAAAAAATTTCCACTAGCTGCTGTGGTAGTATATGAACTCAAGTCCTTGTAGCCTCGGATTCTTTTCACAAGCCCAGCAGCATTAACACTGCACCATCATCTCACTAATTGGAGATATATATCAGCTATAAATGACAGAACTGTGTTGAGGAGCTAAAATGTTTCTTTTTTTCCTGTATGTGATGTAGATCATGCAGTAAAAGCTATAGAAAAAATATGTTTAGCAGTGCCCTCTAATACAGACTTCAGCTCTTTCTACACTCCTTAAAGTAACAGTGTACAGTGAACTTTTGTGAATCATTCTTAACTAATTAACTGATTAAAACCTGTTGACATGAAGGGGATATAATGCTGTATTTCACTTTGAGAAGTTATTTAAAATTTCACATTCTAGATTTGAAACACACGCATTCCCCAGAGATCTTCTCCCTGGTTACAGAGAGAGAACCCTAACAGTGACTGTGCCTTCAATCAATTAGGATAGTGATGGTGAAAGGAGGAGGAAGATTGATGGTATTCGCACATTGATACACACAGCACACAGTCCTGGACACCATGCAAACTATGAACGCAATACTTGACGACGGTGAGTCTGTTTGTCAATTATTTCCATGGCAACTCACCAGAGGTGACAAGAGAGAACTCAATCCATGATGACACAACGGGGGTCATAGAATGATAGAATCCCTACAGTGTGGAAACAGGCCATTCAGCCCAACAAGACCACACCGCTCCTCAGAGCATCCCACCCTGACCCATCCCCCTACTCCTGCATTTACCTTGTCTAATCCACCTAGGGCACTATGGCCAATTTAGCATAGCCAATCCACCTAACCTGCACATGTTTAAACAAACACAAGGAGCGCCGCACTGTCGGAGGGTCAGTGCTGAGGGAGTGGGCACTGTCAGAGGGTCAGTGCTGAGGGAGTGGGCACTGTCGGAGGGTCAGTGCTGAGGGAGTGGGCACTGTTGGAGGGTCAGTGCTGAGGAGTGGGCACTGTCGGAGGGTCAGTGCTGAGGGAGTGCCACACTGTCGGAGGGTCAGCGCTGAGGGAGGGCCGCACTGTCGGAGGGTCAGTGCTGAGGGAGCGCCGCGCTGTCGGAGGGTCAGTGCTGAGGGAGCGCCGTGCTGTCGGAGTGTCAGTGCTGAGGGAGCGCCGCACTGTCGGAGGGTCAGTGCTGAGGGAGCGCCGTGCTGTCGGAGGGTCAGTGCTGAGTGAGAGCCGCACTGTCAGAGGGTCAGTGCTGAGGGAGCGCCGCACTGTCGGAGGATCAGTGCTGAGGGAGCACCGCACTGTCGGAGAGTCAGTGCTGAGGGAGCGCCGCACTGTTGGAGGGTCAGTGCTGAGTGAGTGCCGCACAATTCTGGTACGCCTTTGCTATTAATAAAGGATGAGTTCTTAAATGAAAGAGGATCTTAGATCAGACGATCAAGATGTCAAACCATTTGGGTGGAGCTAACTTGAAAACCAGCAAGGACTGGTGGGAATTGTTCATAGGATGTCAAACCTCAACGGAAATGTGGGGCATGCAATAAATCGGAAATTAGAGGTTCATTTAACAAATGTAATATCATCACATCATTCCCCTCCAAACCACTCACCATCCTGACTTGGAAATATAACACTGTTCCCTCACTGGCGATGGGTCAATATCCTGGAATTCCCACCCTAAGGGCATTGTGGGTCAACCTACAGCACGTGGATTGCAGCGGTTCATGAAGGCAGCTCACCCCCACCTTCTCAAGGGGCAACTGGGGATATGCCATAAATACTGGGTCCAGGGGCAATGCCTACGTCGCAGGAATGAATAAAAAATGGGATCTTCAATTCACCTATTGACTGTGTAAATCTGATTCGCATAAATGCTGTGAAGGACAAGTTCCTGGAATTAACACAAGATGGTTTTCTAGATAACAAAGTGCGGAGCTGGAGGAACACAGCAGGCCAGGCAGCATCAGAGGGGCGGGAAAGTTGACATTTTTCCTGCTTCTCTGATGCTGCCTGGCCCTGCTGTGTTCCTCCAGCTCCACACTTTGTTATCTCTGTCTCCAGCATTGGCAGTTCTTATATCTCTACATTTCAACTGTGTCTGGAAACAGTATCTGTGTTAATAGTGTTTACGATGAGGGCCAGGTTTGAAAACATGCAGCAATTCTCGAGCAATCCTTGGTTTGTAAGCATTTCTTTTCACATTTCAGTCCACAAATAAACATTCAGAAAAACAAAAAGATACAATCTTTACAGCCTGTCTTCACAAGGGAAGAGACATAATCCTCTCAAAATACTAGAGAATGAAGGGACATGTGAGAATAAGGAACTGAAAGAAATTAGTATTTGTTAAAAAGAAGTATTGGAGAAACTAAATGGATTTAAATGTTGATAAATCCCTGTGAACCAATGACCTTCACTGTAGAGAGTTGAAAGAGGTAGCGATCATGATAATAGATGCATTGGTGATCGTCTTCCAAAATTCCATTGGTTCAGAAATGGTTCCTGTAAATGAGAAGGTGGCAAATATAACTTCACTGTTTTAGAGAAGAGGGAGAGAGAAAATGGGACACTATTGGTCAGTCACATCAATAATGCAGAAAATGCTAAATTCCATTATAAATAACGTAATAATTGGACACTTAGAAAACGATTATATGATTGGGCAGAGTCAATATGGACATAAGAAAGAGACTCATAATGGACAAACTGGTTGAAGTTTTTTTTGAGAATGTAACTATCAGAAACGATGGGTTAAACAGTGGACGTGGTGCATTTGGATTTTCAGAAGGTTTTTGTTAATGGCTAGTGGGCAAAATTAGAGTTGCATGGGATTAGATATGAAAATACTGGCATGGATTGAGAGCTGGGTAATGGACGGAAAACAGAGAGTTGTGCTAAATGGGTAATTGTGAGGTCGGCAAGTCATAATCAATGGGCTACTGCAAGGATCAGTGCTTGGGCCCTTGTCTGATCATAATCTATAATCAATGATTTGGATGTTGGGGCCAATTGTGACATTTCCCACAAAGAACCAAAAGAACTGTGGATGCTGGAAATCAGAAACAAAAACAGAATTTGCTGGGAAAGCTCAGTCAACACAGGACGGAGGGTGTTGTACTTGAATGCACGTAGTATACGAAACAATGGAATGAGCTTGTAGTGCAGATTGAAATTGGCAGGTACAATACTGTGGGTATCGCAGAGATGTGGCTGCAAGAGGATCAGGGCTGGGAACTAAACATCCAAGGATTCATGTCTATCGAGAGGACAGGCAGATGGGAAGAAGGGGCACAGTTGCCTTGTTAGTAAGAAACTAAATTAAATCAATCTCAAGAAGTGATAAAGAGTTGGAAGGTGTAGAACTGAGCAGAGTAGAGGAACCGCAAAGGGAAAAAGACCCTGATGGGAGTTATGTACAGGCACCCTAGCAGTAGTCAGGATGTGTGGATGAAAATAAATTTGGAGATAGAAAAGACATGTATGAAAGGCACTATTACAATAATCATGGGGGACTTCAATATGCAGGTTGACTGGGAAAAGCAAGTTGGTAGCAGATCTCAAGAGAAGGAATTCATGGAATGTCTGTAAAATGGGTTTTTTGGAGCAGCTTGTGTTGAGTTCACTAGAAGACACACAATTCTGGATCTAGTGATGTGTAAAGAGGCAGACTTGATTAGGGAGCTGAATGTGAAGGAACCTCTAGGGGCAGTGACCATAATATGATAGTTTGAGAGGGAGAAGCTGGAATCAGATGTAATGGTATTACAACTGAGTAAAAGTAACTGCAAAGACATGAGGGAGGAGCTGGCCAGAGTTGATTGGAAGGAAAGACAGTGGAGCGGTAATGGCAGGAGTTTCTGGGGGTAATTCATCCCAAGAAAGAAGAAACACCCTAAGGGGAGGAGGAGTAACCATGGATGATGACAAGGCAAGTCAGGGACAGCATAAAAGCAAAAGAAAAAGCATTCAATATGGTGAAGATTAATGCGAAGCCAGAAGAATGAGAGGCCTTTAAAAACCAGCACAGGACAACTAAAAAAAGCAATAAGGGGGGAGAAGATGAAATATAAGAGTAAATTAGCTAGTAATATAAAAGAAAATTGCAAGAGTTTTTTTTAGATATCTAAAAGGTAAGAGAGAGGCAAGTGTAGGCATTGAACTGCTGTAAAATGAGGCTAGAGGACTATTAATGGAGAATAAAGAAATAAAGAGAATAGAGAATAAATGAAAACCTGCTCACTGCTCTTTTTCCCCTGCCAAAGAAGACATGTTCACATTTCGCCATCATTGGGTTTATCTGTCAAAGATGGAATATCTGTTTATATTTGGTTTTAACTTGTCATCTCTTTTCCAGAATCAGAAGATGACATCCTGTCACTGGAGCCTGAGATGGAGTTAGAAACAATTGACACTCAGGAGAGCCTCCAGGACAGCCTCCAGGATAGCTTTCTGGAGACCACTGAGGACAAAGTCCGACGACTGTGGCATGTTCTGAGAACAGCAGTGTACGAGTCCACAGAAAAGGTACCGTCAAGTACATACTTAAAAGGCACACAGCACTGGGTTATAGTCCAGTAGGTTTGTTTGAAATCACAAGCTTTCAAAGCGCTGCCTTCATCAGGCAAATTGTGTGTGTGTGTATGCGTGCTTGCGTGCGTGTGTGTGTGTGTGTGTGTGATGGGGGGGAGAGAGTGTGTGTGTGTGTGTGTGTGTGTGTGTGGTGGGGAGGGGACTCCAAACCAAAACACTAACAGATTCTAAATAAGGCCTCACACCTAACATGCACTATCTGACCTAAAATGTCACCTCTTCCTTACACTGATAAAACCTTTAGTTCTCACAGGATATGGACTTGAAAGGAATTTTTGGTATTTACATATACATATTAATCAATTAAAACCTTCTAACTGATTAAAGATTTAACAGCATCTTAGGTTTGTTTAACACATCCTCATCAGTGGTGTGACCCTTTGATCTTTTACTTATAAATTCTGTGTCTGATGCTACCTCTCTCACTAACACTTGAAGAAAGAGTAAGACTCCGAAAGCTTGTGTTTTCAAATAAACCTGTTGGACTGTAACCTGTTGTGTGATTTATGACCTTGTATACCCCAGTCCAACACTGGCACCTCCACATAATGTTTGCAGAAATAGCAGTAATTCTAACGATGGGGAGGTGAATTTAGAATCTAGCAAAGGAGGACTAAGGTACTGATAAAATAAGGAAGAATAGACTACAAATGCAAAATATTACAATGGATTGTAAAAGCTTCTACAGATATGATAAAATGAGCTACAAACTGAAAGAACCGTGGATGCTGTAAATCAGAAACAAAAATAGAATTTGCAGGAAAAGGTCAGCAGGTCTGGCAGCATCTGTGAAGAGAAAGGCAGAGTTAACCATTCCTGAGAACTAATGAAAAGAGATGTTTGAATAAAATGAATGTGAGTCCATTAAAAGCAGGGTCGGCAGACTTTATAACAGGGAAGAGAGAAATGGCAGAGAAGCTAAACTTTGGTATCAGTTTTCATTGAGGAAGATGCAAGAAATCTCCCAGAGTGAAAGATCCAAGTTTCTAAGAAGAATGAGGACCTGAAGGAAATTTGAGAGAGATTAATGAACTGAAATTTGCTATGTCCCTGGGACCTGATATTCTACACTTCAGAGTGTCAGTAGATGGGACTATTAAAATGGTGAGATATTGGTAATTGTCTTCCAAGATTCAATCAATTCTGGAATGATTCCAATGGATTGGATGATTCCAAACATCATCCCACTATTTCAAGAGGGAAAGGGAGAGGGGAATCAGGGAACTACAGACCTGTTACCTTACATCAGAGTAGGGAAAATACTAGAATCTATAACAAAGGATTTGATAGTTGCAAACTTGGATAGTGATGGTCCGATTGGGCATAGTCAACATGGATTACAAATGGGGAATCATGTTTGACAAATTTGTTAGAGTTTTTCGAGGATGTTACTAATAAAATGGATAAAGGAGAGTTGATGGATGTGGTGTGGTTGAATTTTCAGAAGGCTTGTCATTAGGTCTCCTACGAGAGGCTAGGTACCAACATTACCTCCTATCCCATGTGCTTGAATGTACTGGCCTGGAGTAGGTATTGGCGAACAGACAGCAACAGAGAACAGCAATAAACTCTCACGTTACAGGCTGTGACTGGGATACCACAGGCATCAGTACTCAGCATCCCAGCTGTTCACAATGTGTATCAGTGATCCAGAGATAGGGACCAAATGGATTCTTTCCCAGTTTGCAGACAATACAGAGCCAAGTGGGAATGTGTGTTGTGAGAAAGATGCAGAAAGCAGCTTCAGGAGAATTTGTTTCAGAGACAGTAGGAACTGCAGATGCTGGAGAATCTGAGATAACAAAGTGTAGAGCTGGATGAACACAGCAGGTCAAGCAGCATCAGAGGAGCAGGAAAGCTCCTCTTCTTCAGAAATGGAGGAGGGGAAGGGGGTTCTGAAATAAATAGGGAGAGAGTGGGGGGCGGATATAAGATGGATAAAGGAGAAGGTAAGTGGAGAGGAGACAGACAAGTCAAAGATGTGAGTGTGGAGCCAGTAAAGGTGAGTGTAGGTGGGGAGTTAGGGAGGGGATAGGTCAGTCCAAGGAGGATGGACAGGTCAAGGGGGTGGGATGAGGTTAGTAGGTAGGAGATGGGGGTGCGGCTTGAGGTGGGAGGAGGGGATAGGTGGGAGGAAGAACAGGTTAGGGAGGCAGGGACGAGCTGGACTGGTTTTGGGATGCGGTAGGGGGAGGGGAGATTTTGAAGCTTGTGAAGTCCACATTGATACCATTGGGCTACAGGGTTCCCAAGCGGAATATGAGATGCTGTTCCCGCAACCTTTGGGTGGCATCGTTGTGGCACTGCAGGAGGCCCAGGATGGACATGTCGTCCGAGGAATGGGAGGGGGAGTTGAAATGGTTCACAACTGGGAGGTGCAGTTGTTTAGTGCGAACCGAGCATAGGTGTTCCGCAAAGTGGTCCCCGAGCCTCCGTTTGGTTTCCCCGATGTAGAGGAGGCCACACCGGGTACAGCGGATGCAGTATACCACATTAGCAGATGTGCAGGTGAACATCTGCTTGATGTGGAAAGTCTTCTTGTGGCCTGGGATGGGGGTGAGGGGGGAGGTGTAGGGGCAGGTGTGGCACTTCCTACCGTTGCAGGGAAAAGTGCTGGGTGAGGTGGGGCTGGAGTGGAGTGTGGAGCGGACAAGGGAGTCACGGAGAGAGTGGACCCCGGGAAAGTACAGGAGGGTTACCCGGGAAAGTACCCCCGGGAGGGTAGGAGGCCTTGACGGCCTCAGTAAAGGGCTCATCTTTGTCCCCCTCCACCCACACATCAACGAATACCGCTCATGCTTGGACGTTGAACAGTTTTTCCACCCCCTCCGCCTCCACGCTTACTTCTTTAACCGTGAGCCTAACCCTCCCTCTACTGACCCCTTCTCCCACCTCCAATACAACCCCTCCTCCTGGACACCACCCCAAGGCCTCCTACCCGCAATCTCTTCATCTCCAACTGCCGTCGAGACATCAATCGCCTCAACCTCTCCACACCTCTCACCCACTCCAACCTCTCCCTGGCAGAACGTGCAGCTCTCCGCTCCAACCCCAACCTCACCATAAAACCCGCGGACAAGGGAGGCGCAGTTGTAGTATGGTGCACTGACCTCTACGTCGCCGAGGCCAGACGCCAACTCTCTGACACCTCCTCCTACCACCCCCTTGATCATGACCTCACCCCCAACCACCAAACCATCATCTCCCAAACCATCCACAACCTCATCACTTCAGATGACCTCCCACCCACAGCCTCCAACCTCATTGTTCCCCAACCCCGCACCGCTCGCTTCTATCTCCTTCCCAAAATCCACAAACCTGACTTCCCTGGTCGACCCATTGTCTCCGCCTGCTCCTGCCCCACCGAACTTATCTCCACCTATCTCGACTCCATTTTCTCCCCCTTGGTCCAGGAACTCCCTACCTACATCCGTGACACCATCCACGCCCTCCACCTCCTCCAAAGCTTCCAATTCTCCGGTCACCAACACCTCAGGCTATGCCTACCTCTTTGTAGGTTACGTGGAACAATCCCTCTTCCGTAGCTACACTGGCCCTAAACCCCACCTCTTCCTCTGTTACGTTGATGACTGTATCGGCGCTGCCTCGTGCTCCCACGAGGAGCTCGAACAGTTCATCCACTTCACTAACACCTTCCACCCCAACCTTAAGTTCACCTGGACCATCTCTGATACCTCTCTCTCCTTCCTGGACCTCTCTGTTTCCATCTCTGGCAACTACCTAGAAATCGATATCCATTTCAAGCCCACCGACTCACACAGCTACGTAGAATACACCTCCTCCCACCCACCTTCCTGCAAAAATGCCATCCACTATCCCCACTTCCTTCGCCTCCGCCACATCTGCTCCTAGGATGAGGCATTCCACTCCCGAACATCTCAGATGTCCTCGTTTTTCAAGGACCGCAACCTCCCCCCTCAGTGGTCGAGAACGCCCTCAACCGTGTCTCCCGCATTTCCTGCAACTCATCCCTCACACCCCCTCCCTGCAATAACAACCAAAACAGAATCCCCCTCGTCCTCACGTACCACCCCACCAACCTCCGGATCTAACGCATCATCCTCCGACACTTCCGCTATCTGCAATCCGACCCCACTACCAAAGACATTTTTCCCTCCCCACCCTTATCTGCTTTCCGGAGGGACCACTCTCTCCGTGACTCCCTTGTCCGCTCCACACTCCACTCCTGCCCCACCTCACCCAGCACTTTTCCCTGCAACCACAGGAAGTGCTACACCTGCCCCCATACCTCCCCCCTCACCCCCATCCCAGGCCCCAAGAAGATTTTCCACATCAAGCAGATGTTCACCTGTACATCTGCTAATGTGGTATACTGCATCCGCTGCACCCGGTGTGGCTTCCTCTACATCGGGGAAACCAAGCGGAGGCTCGGGGACTGCTTTGCAGAACACCTACGCTCGGTTCGCACTAAACAACTGCACCTCCCAGTCGCGAACCACTTCAGCTCCCCCTCCCATTCCTCAGATGACATGTCCATCCTGGGCCTCCTGCAGTGCCACAACGATGCCACCCGAAGGTTGCAGGAACAGCACCTCATATTCCGCTTGGGAACCCTGCAGCCCAATGGTATCAATGTGGATTTCACAAGCTTCAAAATCTCCCCTCCCCCTACCGCATCCCAAAACCAGTCCAGCTTGTCCCCGCCTCCCTAACCTGTTCTTCCTCCCACCTATCCCCTCCTCCCACCTCAAGCCCCACCCCCATCTCCTACCTACTAACCTCATCCTGCCCCCTTGACCTGTCCGTCCTCCCTGGACTGACCTATCTCCTCCCTAACTCCCCACCTACACTCACCTTTACTGGCTCCATCCCCGCCTCTTCGACCTGTCTGTCTCCTCTCCACCTATCTTCTCCTCTATCCATCTTCTTTCTGCCTCCCCCTCTCTCCCTATTTATTTCAGAACCCCCTTCCCCTCCCCCATTTCTGAAGAAGGGTCTAGGCCTGAAACGTTAGCCTTCCTGCTCCTCTGATGCTGCTTGGCCTGCTGTGTTCATCCAGCTCTGCACCTTGTTATCTCAGGAGAATTTGAGCAGGTTTCGTGGGTGGACAGATGACAGATGGAGTCTAAGGTGGAGAAATGAGAGGCTGTTCGCTTTGGGAGGAATAGACATGCAGGATTTTTCTGAGATGGTAAGTGATCTAGACTTACCTTCCAGAGGGAGCTGAGAGACTGTTGTGTGCTCTGCTTCATAGAGACTTGGCTCAACCCTGCCATACCTGACCGTGGCCTATATGCATGTATCACATGGAACGCACAGTGTCCTCAGGTAAGGCAAAGGGGCAGTGGGACATGCTTCCTGATCAACACTTCCCGGTACTCAGACATAGCGACTCTGGCAAGTCATTGCTCCCTGGATCTGGAATACTTTACAGTAAAGTGTGATCCTCACTACTTTGCCATTGTGTCAGCAGTTTACACCCCACCCCATGTAGATGTGATTTACATCACCACAAACACACAAGAGACAAAATTCCCTGGGAGTCTATTCATAGTGACCCATGACTTGAACCTGAAGAGGGCTTTGCCAAAGTACCACCACCACGTTTCCTACCCCGCCAGCGGACGGAACATTCCAGACCACTGCTACACAACCAAAGTCCATAACTGCTCCATTCCCTACCTACACTTCAGAAAATTAGATCCCAGCACTGTGTCCCTCCTCCCAGCTCATAAACAGAAGTGAGGATCCTTCACTAAAGGAAGTGAAATGCTGGTCCGAGACTGTGGAAGACTGTCTCTGGGACTGCTTGGAGTCGGTGGACTGGACCATGTTCAAATACTCAGTGGAAAACCCAGACGAGTAGGTCACCACAGTCACAGACTTCATTAGCAAATGCACAGAAGACTGTGTACCAGAGTAGTCAATCCGAGTTCCTCACCATAAACCTTGGATGAAGCGGGAAATCCATTCCCTACTGAAGACCAGACATGCAGCATTCGAGTTGGATGACCAGGACCAATACAGGGGATCCAGATCTGACCTCCGTAAAGCCATCAGGGAGGCCAAGAGGCAGTACCTGACCAAGTTAGAGACCCAGACCTACCAAACAGACTCCCGCCACCCTTGGCAAGGCATAAACAACATTATGGGATGAAAATGAAGCAGAGCAAGATAGCTGACAAAAACACATCTCTCTGACGCCCCCCCCGCACCCCCACAACCGATGTGCTCGATGTTTTTAAGCTCAGTTTGAGCAGAATGCCAGTGGCGCGGTGTCACCTGCCCTGACAGCTCCAGACGTACCTGTTCCCTCGGTCACCGCTGCAGACGCTGCAGTTTTCCTGGGAGTCAGCCCAAGGAAAGCGATGGGCCTGGACGGAGTCCTCGGTTGTGCACTTACATCCTGTATGGACCAGCTGGTGAAGGTATTCATTGACATCTTCAACCTCTCCCTCCTATAGGCCATAGACCCCACCTGCTTCAAGAAGAACACCATCATCCCAGTATCTTCAGCACCAGCTGTTGTCGGGAGGCGATGGCCTAGTGATATTGTCACTGGACTGTTAATCCAGAGACACAGAAAACGTTCTGGGGACCCGGGTTCGAATCCTCCTACAGCAGATGTTGGAATTTGAATTTGATAAAATATCTGGAATTAAGAGTCTAATGATGACCGTGAATCCATTGTTGCTTGTTGGGAAAAACCCATCTGGTTCAATAATGTCCTTCAGGGAAGGAAACTGCCATCCTCACCTGGTCTGGCCTACATGTGACTCCAAACCCACAGCAATGTGGTTGACTCTGGGCGATTAGGGACGGGCAATAAATGCTGCCTAGGCAGTGATACCCTCATCCTGTAAATGAATAAAAGAATAAATGAATAACGGATTATTTCCCTCCAGACTGATCACAAAACTGCATGACCTTGGTCTCGGCTCCACCGTCTGGTTCTGGGTCCCCAGTTTTCTGACCCACAGAACGCAATCAATGAGAATAGGTAACTGCACCTCCTCCACAATAACACTCAACACTGGAGCCCCCCAAGGATGCGTCCTCAACCCCCTAATGTACTCTCCCTGTACACCCACGACTGTGTTGCCAAATTCTGAATGAACGCCATCTACAAGTTCGCTGACAACACCACTAGAGTAGGACAGATATCTATCAATCAGTCAAAATACAGAACAGAGATAGAAGGTTTGGTGATGTGGTGCAATGAAAACAATCTGTCTCTCAATGTTGGCAAAACTAAAGAACTGGTCATCGACTTCAGGAAGAAAGGAGGAGAACACACCCCCATCTACACCAACGGAACTGATGTTGAGAAGGTGGAGAGCGTTAAGCCCCTCGGAGTGATGATAACCAACAATCTGTCCTGGAATTCCCACGTAGATGCGACAGTGAAGAAGGCACAAGGTGGCTCAGGAAATTCAGCCTGTCTGTAAGGTCGCTCACGAACTTCTACAGATGCACCATTGAAAGCATAATGTCTGGGTGGATAATGGCCTGGTATGGCAACTGCTCTGCCCAGGACTGTAAAAAACTACAGAAGGTGGTGTGCATAGCCCAGACCATCACAGAAGCCAACCTTCCATCCGCAGACTCTATTTACATGGCTCGCTGCCGCAGAATGGCTGCCGAGATCATCAAAGACCCATCACACCCCAGTAATGATCTCCTACAACCTCTTCCATCAGGCAGAAGATACAGAAGCCTGAACACACGCACAAGCAGGTTCAGGAACAGCTTTTTCCCAGCCATTATCAGACTGATGAATGGACCCTCTAGCCTCAAATAGTATTCATCTTGCTAACGTTGATCTCACCAAGCGCACGTCCTGCGCACCATAACCTGTTTACCTCTGTCTAATTTTTTTCACAACCTCTGATCTGTACATCCTTGCTTACTATGATCTGCCTGTACTGCTCGTAAACAAAGCTTTTCACTGTATTTTGGTACATGTGACAATAAATCAATCAATCTACATTAGATAGTGCCCAAAGTGCCCTCATCAATAAGTGCCCAAAGGTTAACATGCAACTACAGCAGGTTACCAGGAAGGCTAATGGAATGTTAGCCTTTATCACAAGAGGATCTGAGTACAGGAGTAGGGGGTTCGAGATTCAGTTGTATAGGAGCCTAGCTGGACTGTACCTAGCATATTGTGTGCAGATTTAGACTCCTTCTCCCAGCAAAAATATTATTACTATAGAGGGAGTGCAACAAAGGTCCACCAGACCATTTCCAAGGATGGTGAGACTGTTCTATGAAGAACAATTAGGAAAATGAGCCGAAATCTCTAGAGTATTGAAGGGTGAATTTGACTTCTTTAGGAATGGAGTGACCCAGAGGTGACCTGTTAAAGGTTCTCAAGATTATTAAAGAGTTTGATAGGAGAAGATATTTTCCAGTTGCGCCTGAGACCAGGAGTGGGATGATAAATATTGGATAACCACAAACAAAGGCAACTGGGAATTCAGGAGAAAGACTTTCACCCAGGAGGTGGTCAGAATGTAGAGCTTACTGAAAGACGAGATGAATCTTGTAGATATATTTAAAGGAAGTCTGCTAAGAATCAAGGGATATTGTTATAGGTTGACCCTCCTCTGAAAACTAAAACTGAAACACCCAAAGGGGAGCACCTTGCCCTATAATCTGTAAAAGGAGTGTGAAAAGTGGTATAACCTGCCTTTCAGCAACTTCTAGTGTTTAAATAAAATAAATCCCTGACACTCACTTTACAATCAACAAGTAACAATTTATTTGTCTAACTCTAACAGTGAACAAATTTACTAAACTATTAACAAACCAAATAAACCCTTTCTAACTACTATCTATTCCCGAACAAAGCAAGATTCTAATGTTATGCTGTTCCAATAAATACAAGTCCAACTTATATAAAATAAAAAAAAGAATTTAGTCTGTCAAAATTACAGGCAAGTGACGTGTCTTCTGGAACATTCTGTGCCTTCTCCATTGATTCTTCCATCAGGAATATTAACTAGTTGTGCTGTGGGTACCTTTGTTATTTAGATGGTGCTTTCTCTGAAACATAGAGTAGTCTGTGAGAGCCAGCGATTCTCTCTCGAGAACTGAGGTCTGTTGGCTCTGGTGGATGGTAGTTAGCTCTGCCGTTTATCAACTGCCCCCTTCTGATGATGACATATCAATAATTCTTACAATAGAATTGGTCCTATGTTGTCAAAACCATCAGATTAAATTTAATTGGTTTTTGGTGTCTAAGTGCCTACTTCAAATTGATTGGTTAAATTCAAAAACTTGATGTCTTGGTAAAAGCTGCTGCTTGGCCTGCTAACTTTACAGCCTTTTGATACACATATTTTAGTTTTGGCGCTCTCTGTGTACTTGCAAACATTCAAGCTGCTGCTCACAGTCATTCGTTTTAAATCTCTAAGCACAGAAAAAGCACATCATCTTTTAAAGGGACCACGCAACGCTTCCCCCCCACCCCACTCCCCGCATTCTACAAACACCAAATTCTAATGTCCTGCCTCCCAACCCACAAGTACTCTACCCAACTTCACAACAGTATATTGGGTGTGAGAAGATGGGGAAAGGGATGAAGGTTCGAGTCTAAAGAATAAATGTGGGTCTTTGACCCATACCCCTGCAGAAAAATAAAAATTAATTCTCCTCAACAATAATTGTCTGTTACTCTGTTTTCCACTTGTGTTGAATTCCGCAGATAAGGAGACATGATTGGAAGCCAATGGATTTGGAACACGGACTGCAACATGTGCAGCGTGTGACGTTTAAGAATGCAATCCGCCATGTCTTACATAATGTTGTCACCAAGGAGTTTATCTGCATGAAGTCCAAAACTAGCATCTGTATCTACCACTGCGATGGCCGGAAGAAGCAGGAATACACCCTCAGGGGGCCAATAGAAGGAATAGTGTATGCTCGGCAGATTAACCGCTACGTGGCCTGGAACATCTGTCCACAGGTGAAGGTGCTAGGCCCAGACTTCCAGGTTATCTCCACCAACCAGTCAAAACAAACCATCACCTGTTGCCTGTACAACGAGGATTTGAATGAGATCGTCACGGCTGGAGTCGGCAATGTCTGTACCTGGCATTTCTACTTTGGCTGCCGTGAGCTGATATGTGCCAGCACCATCACCATAGGGCTGACTCAGGAAGATGTGTTCACAGAGCTGGCACTGGAGAGAGTCCGGGGTACCACAGTGACAATGCCCCACAGTCAGCGCTGCTACGCAGTCTGCGGGAAAGGAGTTGCTGTCTTCGACTTGCTCAAAGCTACTGTAATTTCATATGAGAAACGGCTGCATGACAGGTAACTCTGACCTCAGGTAACTCTGACCCCAGATAACCCTGACCCCAGGTAACCCTGACCTCAGGTAACTCTGACCCCAGATAACCCTGACCCCAGGTAACTCTGACCCCAGGTAACCCTGACCCCAGATAACCCTGACCCCAGTTATCTCTGACCCCAGGTAACCCTGACCCCAGGTAACCCTGACCCCAGGTAACTTTGACCCCAGGTAACTCTGACCCCAGGTAACTCTGACCCAGGTAACCCTGACCCCAGGTAACCCTGACCCCAGGTAACCCTGACCCAGGTAAGTCTGGGCCCAGGTAACTGTCCTCAATTAACTCTGACCCCAGCCAACTCTGACCCCAGGTAACTTTGACCCCAGGTAACTCTGACCCCAGGTAACCCTGACAGTAGGAAACTCTGGGCCCAGGTAACTGTCCTCAATTAACTCTGACCCCAGGTATACCTGACCCCAGGTAACTCTGACCCCAGGTAACTCTGACCCAGGTAACTCTGAATTTGGTTAACTCTGGGCCCAGGTAACTCTGTCCTCAATTAACTCTGACCCCAGGTAACTCTGACCCCAGGTAACGCCGACACTAGGTAATCCTGACCCCAAGTAACTCTATCCCATTTGGTACAGTGAAGACAGTGGCATGGGAAGATGTGTAATTCGCTGGCCTGTCTTTCTCAGTCCATGTTCGTGGCCAGCTGAATTTTGTTTATTCTCACCTCTTCCAATAACCTTCCAAATATTGTAGTTATCAGTAACTATCTCACAGTGTCAAGGTGTACCACTTTCCTATCTCACCTGCAAGTGTCATTGTAGAGGGGTCATAGAGCCCCAGGAGGTAATGATTCATAGAACATAGAACATAGAACATAGAACATTACAGCGCAGTACAGGCCCTTCGGCCCTCGATGTTGCGCCGACCTGTGAAACCAATCTGAAGCCCATCTAACCTAAACTATTCCATTATCATCCATATGTTTATCCAATGACCATTTAAATGCCCTTAAAGTGGGCGAGTCTACTATTTTTGCAGGCAGGGCATTCCACGCCCTTACTACTCTCTGAGTAAAGAACCTACCTCTGACATCTGTCCTATATCTATCACCCCTCAATTTAAAGCTATGTCCCCTCGTGCTAGCCACCACCATCTGAGAAAAAAGGCTCCCACTGTCCATCCTATCTAATCCTCTGATGATCTTGTATGTCTCTATCAAGTCACCTCTTAACCTTCTTCTCTCTAACGAAAACAGCCTCAAAACCCTCAGCCTTTCCTCATAAGACCTTCCCTCCATACCAGGCAACATCCTGGTAAATCTCCTCTGCACCCTTTCCAATGCTTCCACATCCTTCCTATAATGCGGTGACCAGAACTGTACGCAATACTCCAAGTGCGGCCGCACCAGAGTTTTGTACAGCTGCAACATGACCTCATGGCTCCGAAACTCAATCCCTCTACCAATAAAACCTAACATACTGTACGCCTTCTTAACAACGCTATCAACCTGGGTGGCAACTTTCAGTGATCTATGCACATGGACACCGAGATCTTTCTGCTCATCCACACTACCAAGAATCTTACCATTAGCCCAGTACTCTGTATTCCTGTTACTCCTTCCAAAGTGAATCACCTCACACTTTTCCGCATTAAACTCCATTTGCCACCTCTCAGCCCAGCTCTGCAGCTTATCTATGTCCCTCTGTAACCTACAACATCCTTCTGCACTATCCACAACTCCACCGACTTTGGTGTCATCCGCAAATTTACTAACCCATCCTTCTACGCCCTCATCCAGGTCATTTATAAAAATGACAAACAGCAGTGGCCCCAAAACAGATCCTTGAGGTACACCACTAGTAACTGAACTCCAGGATGAACATTTCCCATCAACCACCACCCTCTGTCTTCTTACAGCTAGCCAATTTCTGATCCAAACCGCTAAATCACCCTCAATCCCATGCCTCCGTATTTTCTGCAATAGCCTACCATGGGGAACCTTATCAAACGCTTTACTGAAATCCATATACACCACATCAACCGCTTTACCCTCATCCACCTGTTTGGTCACCTTCTCAAAGAACTCAATAAGGTTTGTGAGGCACGACCTACCCTTCACAAAACCGTGTTGACTATCCCTAATCAAATTATTCCTTTCTAGATGATTATAAATCCTATCTCTTATAATCCTTTCCAACACTTTACCCACAACCGAAGTAAGGCTCACTGGTCTATAATTACCAGGGTTGTCTCTACTCCCCTTCTTGAACAAGGGGACAACATTTGCTAGTCTCCAGTCTTCTGGCACTATTCCTGAAGACAATGACGACATAAAGATCAAAGCCAAAGGCTCTGCAATCTCCTCTCTAGCTTCCCAGAGAATCCTAGGATAAATCCCATCCGGCCTACGGGACTTATCTATTTTCACACCTTCCAGAATTGCTAACACCTCCTCCTTATGAACCTCAATCCCGTCTAGTCTAATAGACTGTATCTCAGTATTCTCCTCGACTACATTGTCTTTTTCCTGCGTGAATACTGACAAAAAATATTCATTTAGCACCTCTCCTATCTCTTCGGACTCCACGCACAACTTCCCACTACTGTCCTTGACCGGCCCCAATCTTACTGTAGTCATTCTTTTATTCCTGACATATCTATAGAAAGCTTTAGGGTTTTCCTTGATCCTACCTGCTAAAGACTTCTCATGTCCCCTCCTGGCTCTTCTTAGCTCTCTCTTTAGGTCCTTCCTGGCTAACTTGTAACTCTCAATTCAGGGACAAACAGTTCACCATCCAGAAGGGCTAAGGGTTTACGGCCAGCATTAATTACCAAACCCACCCCATGCCAGCTCAGGCTCATTGTCTTAGCAATGGAGGCTGTACTAATGGAATGGGAATGATCTCGGATTTCTGATTTGGTTACCACATCCCCACAAGGGTTGAGCTTAAGTTTCTCATTATTTTCCAGTTTGTGTGTTTGTGTGTCTGTGTCTATCTGAGTGTGTTGATGTGTATATGTGTTGGTGTGTGTATATATGGGTGTGTGTCTCAATGTGTAAATCTGTGTGTTTGTGCATGTCTGTGTAGATATGTGTTTGTGTGTAAATGCGTGTGTCTGTGTGTATATGTATGTGTTTGTGTGTGTCTTTGTGTATATATGTCTGTGCGCATGTTTGTGTGTGTTTGTGTTTGTATTTGTTTGTGTGTGAATCTGAGTGTGTGTATGTGTGTGTGTGTGTGTGGGGACGGTTGTGGGTTTGTGAGTGTGTGCGTGTGTGTGTGTGGGTGTGTGAGTGTGCATGTGTGTGTGTATCTGAGTGTCTGTGTGTGTGTGTGGGTTTGTGTGTGTCTGAGTGTGTTTGTATGTGTGTGTGTGTGCATGCGTGTGTGCATGTGTGTGTGTGTGTGTGTGTGTGTGTGCATGCAGCAATATTCTTATATTAACAGCCTCTTCATAATGTTCTGATTAGAGTAATCACAGGCATCATCCTGTTTGAAACACCAAGGTGTGTGGTCACTTCCTCGCGGGATGGAAACATCAAAATATGGGATGAAAACTGGAATCTTCAGATTATGTTCGTTGGGCACAGGGGTGAGTCTATCTGTCTTGAGAGTCTCTGACATTTCTGAGACAGAAAACTAATTAGTGTCTCTGAGGTGGGCCTGTGGGAAATGCATCATCAAACAGTGGATCCCTTCTGACCATTGAGACCTAGTTACTCAGCCTGTGATTGTCAGTGAAAACAATGTTCCTATTCTCCACCATTTACACCTTGGGTTATGTTTCTTGGGGCTAAAGGGATCAAGGGGTGTGAGGAGACAGTCGGAGCAGGGTCCTAAGTGAAAACCTTAGTCATGGTCAATCCAATCCCACCTCCCAATTTGATTAAAAGTCAAATGGATGATAATCGCTGCTGTCAAGTGTGTCAGGAAGTCCAAGGTGGTGTATAAATGCGGATTATTGTGGTCCAAATGATAGGCATCACCACACGGCATAAATAATCTCTGTTTCTCGCTGACGTCTTTGCAGGTCCCATCACTGCCCTTGCTCTCTACCCCCATGGTCCCTACCTCCTATCGGGCTCTGAGGATGAGACCATTCGGGCCTGGAGCCTGGAGCTGGCTGACCAGGTGGATGAGATCCAGATGGGGGTGACGGTCACTTGCCTGGGCACAGAGCTCGGGGAGGACAGCATCTTTTCCTGCGCCAACCAGAGGCTGGATTTCTGGACCATCACACACCTGTACAGGCAGCACACAACCATCGGACACAACATCACAGCCATCAAGAACAGGAGCGGAGGGTTTCCAGGCCGCTTCCCTGTACGAGCAGCCTGCTCCTGTGCTGATGGAACAGTTCGCCTCATCTGCCCAGACACCGGGGAGATCATCACCAGCCTGCTGCTGGGCAGGGGCCAGCAGGTAGCTGACTTTGACTACTGCCTCCCCCGGGAAGCCCTGCTGGTTCTGACCAAACGAGGGGACCTCCTGAAGGCCAACGCCCTGACTAATCCCATGGAGGCCCAGTGGGAGGTGCTAGCGAGCAGACAAACGTCACAGCTCTGTTGCTTGTGTATCTACACCCACATTGTGGACAAAGAGCTGACCCACTCCCGGTGGTTGGAAGCGGTGGCCAGAGGAAGCGAAGGGAAGATACGGATCTTGGGAGTGAAGGACAATGACCGGTGAGCATTTCAATAGCACCTTCCACAGCTGCACCAGTTTCCAGGGGTTTCAGGATGGCGAGCTAACATCCAGAGACTGACGCATTTTTCCCGGATAGCCATTGAGGCCAGGCCGCTAGGGATCGGTCCCCGGCTCTTACCCCAACCAGGAGAGCTGCAGCCTCAACATTTGGCAGATTGGGACCTCAGCTTAACCTGTCCTCTCAGAGACAGCAGCTGCAAAGGTCTGCTGCTCAGGACTGGAGGCTCAGGCATAAGCTTGGTGTGCAAGCCCTGGGCGTATAGCAGCTACTGGGGGGGAAGGCAGGACAATGGAGTTCAGACCACAACCAGATCAGACATGATCTTCTTCAATGACAGACCGGCTATAAAGGGCCGAATGGCCTCCTAATGCTCCTAAGTCCGATGTTCCCATGAAATTTTAACCCAGGACCATGTAGTTTTACACTGTCGGAGGGGTCAGTGCTTAGGGAGCGCCGCACTGTTGGAGGGTCAGTGCTGAGGGAGTGGGCACTGTCGGAGGGTCAGCGCTGAGGGAGCGCCACACTGTTGGAGTTATTACAGAGCAGTAGGAGGCCATTCAAATGGTTTTTCTTGCATTGGTTTGCAAATGGGGAATTTACCTCACAGCACTCACTCCTGTGTTAACCCTGACAATCATTTCCTTTTAGATAACAATTGCCCACAGACCATATACTCCACATCTTCAATGCTCAATGTAAAAGAGAGTATCCTGAAGTCACCATTTTAGGTTAAGTACCCTATTGCTGCTCAGTTTAGAAAAAAAATTGGGTGCCATTCAGCCCCTCAAACCTGTACTTTCATTCGGGTCAACCATGATTGTCACTTGCCTTTGCTCTGACCTTGGCTCAGGTGTCCATCTGGTTTAAATACCAGTGAGTGAGCCAATCACAAGGAGTTCCTTTGGAATGTGAAGAGCAGTGGGTCACCCTTGGGGTCATGTTGAGATTCCATTGTTGGTGTGACTGGGGAGGTGTGTGACAGAACTAGCGATCAGACTTTGTACTCAGTCCATTGTTACTGATTGACAGATTGTTCAGACTGATGTGGACCACCCAACAGTGTGGCACTCCCTCGGACTGGGTTGTGGTCCTTAGAGCAGAGGAGACTGTGGGGGGATATCATTGAGATGGATAAAATTATGAGGGGCATAGACAGGAAGAAAAGTTTCCCCTTGGTGGAGGGATCAGTGACTGGGGTATAGGTTTGAGGTAAAAGTCAGGGAGAAGTATTTAAATGTACACTACTGATGCCAAGACAGGGAAGGCTATTGGCCAAGTGCTGGGAAATGGGATTTGACTAATGCAGACTTGATGGGCTGAATGGCCTTTTCCATTGCTGTGGACTTCTATGACACAATCCATTAACTGTGCCCATGTCCCCGTCTCTTGCTTTAAGCTTTCTGCTGATTGCTGGACATCAGAATGGGTTCCTGTCCATGTTAGACTGGAGATCGGGGAGCACTCATTACCAGGTCCAAGCTCATGAGTCGGGGAAACTGTTGTGTCTGGTGGCAAATCCAGCAAACCAACAGCTCATATCATCAGGTAAGTTAGCTAATTCCTGTTGGGTTTACACAGTACAGCACTCTGGGAATTCCTTCATCCCATTGATCCTGGTCCAGCTCATGCCCCATACCCCACAGGCCCTTGTCCTTCGAGCATTGATCCAGTTCCCTTTTGAAAACTCCAAACCCCAGTCGGCTGTGTTTTCCAAATCTGCATCCATTTGTTGCAGAGGTAGTTTTTCTCAAGCCTGTTTTTGGGATTTTTGCCAATCGGGTTATATTTAACACCCTCTTCCCCAGTTACTGTCCCTTCAGCACACTGGAAACTCTTTCTCTTTATTTATTCTATCATCATGATTTTAAACCCACTCCAACCCCAGGCTCTGATCATCTTTCCTCAGGACCTTCTCCATGGTAAGGAGAAAGGAGCTAGCGTAGCTGTCCTTGAGGGTAGTGGAAGCGAAAACAATCATTCATTTCACAAGGATGTTGAATGGGCTCCTTCTGTGCCATAAATGACTCTCGAACCCCATCTTCTGTAGTCTATCCATACAGTGTAGCTTTAGCATTCTTTATAAAAATTGGTAATCAGAAATGACCCAGTACCAGAAGTGAGGTGCTGGAAAACTTGGGGGACAGCTTATGTTGTGCTTTTATTTAAGAAAGATGGTAAGGAAAAGCCAGGAACAAGAAACTGGTGACACTGAAGCTATTGGTGGGTAAGTTGTTGGGCGGGACTCTGAAAGACAGAATTTACATGTATTTGGAAAGGCGAGGACTGCTTAGGGATATTCAACATGGCTTTGTGTGTGGGAAATTGTGTCTTACTAATTTGATTGAGTTTTTTGAAGAGGTGACCAAGAGGATTGATAAAGGCAGAGTGGTAGATTTGGGTCTAAATGGACTTTATCTGGGCCTTCAACAAGGTTTAGCGTGGTAGACTGGTTAGTAAGGTTGGATCACATGGGATTCAGGGAGAGTTAGCCAACTGGATAGAAAATTGGCTTGAAAGTAGGAGACAGAGGGTGGTGGTAGAGGGTTGTTGTTCAGACTGGAGGCCTGTGTCCAGCGGTGTGCAGCAAGGATTAATGTTGGGCCCACTGTTATTCGTCATTTATATAAACGATTTAGAAGAGAATAAATGAGGCATGGTTAGTAAATTGCAGGTGATAACAAAATTGGTGGTATAGTGGATAGCGAAGAAGGTTATCTAAACGTATGAAGAGATCTTGATCAGTTGGGCCAAGGAGTGGCAGATGGAGTTTAATTTAGTTGAATGTGAGATGTTGCATTTTTGTAAGGCAAACCAGGACAGGACTTATACATTTAAGGTAGGGTCCTGGGAAGTGTTGTCAAACAGAAGGATCTAGGAGTTCAGGTACATAGTTCCTTGAAAGTGGAGTCGCAGGTAGACAGGATGGTGAAGAAGGTGTTTGGCACACTTGCCTTCATTGGTTAGAACATTGAGTACAGGAGTTGGAAGGTCATGTTGCGGCTATACAGGATGTGAGGTAAGGCCACATTTGGAGTACTGTGGAGTTCTGGTCACCCTGCTTTTGGAAGGATGTTATCAAACTGAAAAAGGGTGCAAAAAAGATTTACCAGAACGTTACCGAGACTGGAAGGCTTCAGTTATAAGGAGATGCTGGATAGGCTGGGATTTTTTTTCCTTGGAAGGTCAGAGGCTGAGGAGTGACCTTATAGAGGTTTATAAGATCATGAGAGGCAGGGACAGTGTGAATGGTCATGGTGTTTCCCCAGGGTAAGGGAATCCAAAACTAGAGGGCATAGGTTTAAGGTGAGAGGGGAAAGATTTAAAAGAGACCTGAGGAGCAATTTTTTCACACAGAGGGTGTTGCATGTATGGAATGAGATGTCAGAGGAAGTGGTAGATGCAGGTTCAGTTAAGAGACATTTGGACAGGCACATAAATAGGAAAGATTTAGAAGGATATGCACCAAACACAGGCAAGTTGGACTCATTTAGTTTGAGAAACTTTGTTGGTGCAGATGAGTTGGCCCAAAGGGTCTGTTTCCTTGCTTCATGACTCCATGAATCTAATGATTCTTTCATTTGTTCATGAGATGTGGGCTTTGCTGCTTAGGTCAACATTTATTGTATCTGTTTTTAATTCCAATCATTTCCTGAATTCAAGTTTCATTCTCTGCCAACATTCAAGCCCCCAGAACATTAATGTGGGAGGGCTCTGGATTAGGATAAGGTGAAGTCACCATTGTCTTACTAGACCACAGTCCCACTCTTTCATTAAAGAGAGAGAGAGAGATGGCTGGGCGGTGGTTTAACCTGAGGGTCACCATGCCTCAGGCAAGGGGAGCGAGTGAGAAGGAGAATCCTTCAAGATAACCTCAGCTGGTACAGGAATTGAACCCATGCTGTTGGCATCACATTGCATCATAAGCCAGCTGATGAGTGAACTGAGCTGACCAAGGGTGGGACCACAACTAGGGATTCCTGGGTATCAAAGGACATAAAGGTTAGGGTTAAGGAAAAAATGAGAAGATGTAGCAGATACTGAAGACTCAATATAGCAAAGTCCTTAGAGGAGTATAAAAATTACAGGGGGATCTTAGAAAGGAAAATTGTCAAGCGAAGTGAAGGCATGAGAATGTATTGGGATAATGGATACCCAAAGGGCTTTTAAAATATGTAAAGAGGAAAAATAAAATGACTAGGGAATGTATAGGGTTCTTTGGGATCACAGAGGTAAACAGGCGGTGGACCCACAAAATGTGGGCACTGTCCTCCAATAAATATGTTGTGTTAGTTTTCATAATGTAAAAGCATGATGCAGGTGCAGATTTCAGGCTGGAGGACTGTAAAATATCGGAAGGAATTAACATGGGGAGGGAAAACAGGAGCTAGCAGTTTTAGCAGCCTTCGATGTGGATAAATACACAGTCAGTTTAATCTCCATCGTGGGGCAGTTATTAGAAAGAATTCTGAGGATCGGGTTATCTCTGCATCCGGAGAAACATGGATTAATTAGGGATAGTCAGCGTGGATTTGTTAAGATGAGGTCGTGTAGGACAGATTGAATGTTTTGAGGAGGTAACCAAGAGTGATACATTAGATGTGGTCAACTGTGGATTCTAACAAGGCTTTTGATAAAGTCACTCATGGCAGACTAGTCAAAAAAGTAAGAGAGCATTGGATCAAAGTCGAAGTGGATCCCTTTGGATCCGGCTGAGAGGCAGGAGCAGAGGGTGATGGTGGGGGGATGTTGCAGTCTCTGGAATACTGTTTCCAGTGAGGTTCCACAGGCTCAGTGTTGGGGACCTTGCTGTTTGTGGCGTACATTAACAATCAGGACTGGAATGTAAGGGGTACGATCATGAGGTTCAAAGAACAAAGCACAGTACAGCACAGGAACAGGCCCTTCGGCCCTCCAAGCCTGCACTAACACATTTTGTCCCAAGTGAAGACAGTTTTTGTACGGAAGGCCAAAATGTGTCAGAGCAGGCTTGGAGGGGCGAAGGGCCTGTTCCTGTGCTGTACTGTGCTTTGTTTCTTTGTTCATGGATTACATGGAAATTGCTTGGGGTGGTCAAAGGTGAGGAGGATATATCACCAGACTTACCAACTGGGCAGAGCTGTGGCATATGGAGTTCAAGCTGGAAAAGTGTGAGGTAATACATTAGGGACAGCCCACAAGGGAAAAGATTACTGTGGGAATGGTAGGAACCTGGAAAAATCACAGGGAAATTGGTCTACTTACCTACAGATCCCTGAAGTCAGGTAGATCAGGTGGTTACAAAGGCAAATGGGATCGTTGGCTTTATTAGCTGAGGCATGGAAAACAAGGGCAAGAAAGATATATTGGAGCTGTATGAAACATTGGTTAGGCCATAGCTGGAGGACTGCGTGCACTTCTGGTCACCACATTATAGGAAGGATGTGATTGTACTGGAGGGGATTCACCAGGATGTTGCCTGGGTAGGAGGGTCTGAGCTACAAGGAAAGATGGGACAGACTGGGATTGTTTATCTCACAACAGCAAAGGTTAAAGGATCTGACAGAGATGGATAAGATTATGAGGGCCATAGATATGGTGGATAGGGAGGCCCATGTTCTATTAGTAGAGGGCTCAGTAACCAGGGGCATAGACTTAAGGCAAGAGGTTGGAGACTAAGAGGAGAGTTGAGGAGAATGTTTCTCCCCCAGAGGGTGTGGGACTCACTGCTGGAAAGGATGGTCAAGTCAGACACCCCCATAATATTTAAGCAGTGTTTGGCTTCTTGCGTTTCCATAGTCCCCAGGCAATTGTTGATTGTAATGCAGGATTTGTGTATCAAATTTTTGTTGACTGGCATGGCCATGATGGGGTGAATGGCCTCCTTTTGTGCTGTCAATGTCTTGGAGTCAATGGGGCCAACTTTTAATTGCTCTCTGAGAAGGCTGAGCAAGCCACTCAGTTCAAGGGCAATTAAGGATGGGGTAAGACACGCTGAGCTTGCCAGCAATATCCACATCCCATGGGAGAATGAATTGGAAAAATTTGACCTGTGTACTCCGAGCTTCTATTTACAAAAAAAATCCCCAGGATCCCATTTTAACTTGTGCTGCCACCTTCAAAGATTTGACAGTCCCAGATCCCTACGCTCTTACAATTCCATAACATTATCCCGACCAAAATCTACCAAGGTGCACCATCCTTTTGTACAATAGGCTCAAATTACAGCTATTGGATAGGTACATGAATAGGAAAGGTTTGGAGGGATATGGGCCAGGAGCAGGCAGGTGGGACTAGTTTAGTTTGGGATATGTTTGGCATGGACTAGTTGGAATAAAGGGTCTGTTTCCATGCTTTATGACTCTGTGACTTCATCTCTTCTGTGGGTTCATCAACATTATCATTGACTCTGCCTGTTACCACATCACACAAAATTCACCCCAATTACTCAGATGTCCACCGGCCCACCTTCTGGAGGACTCTCCCTGGAGTGAAAAAAGCCGAGAGCAGATCTGATAGAGGTTTGCAAAATCAGGAGTGGACTGGACAGGGGGAATATAAAAGGAACAAGAATGAGTGGGGCATAGATTTAAAGTGAATGAAGCAAAGGTGATGTGAGAGAAAACTTTTTCACGCAGCGGGTAGTTAGGGTCAGGAATGCACTGCCTGGAAATGTGGTGGAGCAGTTCAACAGAGGCATTGAAGAGGGATTTGGATGGTTATTTGGACAGAAATGGTGTGCAGGGGTTTGGGGGAAAAGGCAGGAGATTAGCACTAGGGCAGAGAACTGGTGCTGGAACTATGGCTTCCTTCTGTGATATACTGATTCTGTGGAGAAACTCGGCAGGCCTGCCAAACCTCTAGAGAGAGAAACAGCATTGTTGTCTCGAGTCCAATATGATCCTTCTTCAGACGGGTTTTCGAATGTCAAGGGAGTTAATAGTGATGGGGGAGACAGAAGGAAAGTGAGTTATAGGTCACAGTCAGGTCAGGCAAGATCACATTGACTGGAGGAGTAGGCTGGAGATCTGAAATACTCCTGCTCCCAATTCTTGTGTGCTCTTGTGTTTGAGGATGAATAAACTATCATGGGGAGCGTAGGAACAAGAGACACCAGGACGTGGTACAGGAGGATATGGGAGGGAAATTCAAATGTCATACTGTTACAGATCTACACACCAACAACGTGTTGATGGGTGGAGGTGAAATGGTTGATAACTTTCCGAAAGTAAGGTGTGTCCTCTAATTAACCACTGTATCTCCTGTTACAGGTGAGGACAATGCCATCAAGATATGGCGGGTTTTCCCATACGCTCAGGAGTCCCTCAGCCTCTTAATGAATCTCTACGGTGCCCATCCAACCACTCACCTGTGCATCATGAAGACCATGTTCATGGTGGCATTTCAGAATCCTGTTTGTGCTGTCCACACCATTGTCCTCTACGATGTCAGGAAGAAGGTTCGTAAAGACCACCACCCAGCAAACGACCACGAGGCCGAAATCACAGGTCAGACTCTTACATTGGATCATTGGGATGTAGAGTCCCATCAAACACCCCCAGGACAGGGACAGCACAGGGTTAGATACAGAGTAAAGCTCCCTCTACACTGTCCCCCCATCAAATACTCCCAGGACAAGGACAGCACGGGGTTAGATACAGAATGAAGCTCCCTCTACACTGTCCCCCGCATCGAACACCCCCAGGGATAGGGTCAGCACAGGGTTAGATGCAGAGTTAAGCTCCCCGTGGGGTGTGGGTTATGTCCGGGTGGGCTGATCTTTGGATGGTTGAAGCAGATCCGGCTCAGTGGTTAGCACTGCTGCCTCACAGCGTCGGGGACCCGGGTTTGATTCCACCCTCAGGCGACTGTCTGTGTGGAGTTTGTACATTCTCCCCGTGCCTGCGTGGGTTTCCTCCGGGTGCTCCCACAGTCCAAAGATGTGCAGGTTAGGGTGGATTGGCCATGCTAAATTGCCCTTAGTGTTCAGGAATGTGTAAATTGGGTGGATTAGCCATGGGGAATGCAGGGTAGGGTAGAGGGGTGGGACTGAGTAGGATGCTGTTCAGAGATTTGGTGTGGACTTGTCACACTATAGGGATTCTATGATTCCCATTCTTTAACCTTTTTGCATATGTCCTACCCCCAGGACTGTGTGCTTGTCCAGAGCTGAAGATATTTGCTTCCACTTGCAAAGCTGGGATTGTGAAAATTTGGGACCACAACAACCAGCTGATAAGGTGAGATGTGAGAACTGTGGAGATGTGTAATTGTACAGTCAATGACTACAGTCCCACATTAAATGTTGAGGTGCAGAGTGAAACAGTCTTCACATTTGTTACTAAACTCACCAACAACACTGGGACTGATACAGAGCTGGAGGAGGCCACTCTGCCCATTATGTAGGGCCAGCTCTCCTAATCAGCAATGCACCTAGTGTCATTCCTCACCATCTCCCCATAACCCTGTGCGTTCTCTTTTTCAGAAAATAATACAATTCCCTTTTGAAGCCTTGATTGAAGTCACCTCAACCACTCTCATAGACAATATAAAAGCTTTTGCCACATGAAAATACTTCTTCTTCATCTCTTCCTTCTTTCTTTTGCCAATCATGTGAAAACTGTGCCCTCATTCTTGATGCTTCCAACTTTGGGAAGGTTTCTCCAAATTTTTCACAATCTTTATCACCTCCATCAAACCTTTTCTCAGCTCTCTCTGGAACACCGCCCAAACCTCTCCATGTGACTAGAGCTCCTCATCCCTGGAGCTAGTCATGTGAACCTTTTCTGCACTCTCTTGAACACCATCACATCCTTGCTAGGCTTCATCAAAACAGTTCTGAAGAACAGTCACTGGACTCAAAATGCCAACTCTGATTTCTCTCCACAGATGCTGCCAGACCTGCTGAGTTTCTCCAACAATTTGTTTCAGATTTCCAGCATCCGCAATTCTCTGTTTTATTTTAAAATTACCTGCTTGCTTATGTGCCTCTATTGATTAAAATCTACAAAAACAGTTCACTACTGGTTGCTCTCAATGGTCTTCCCACTATTTCTCTCCCTCTCTCCCCCTCTGGTTCCCTTTCTAATCTACGACTGTGATCTGAGGCTATAGTCAGAGACACCCAGGTACAGATGGATCGCTGAAGGTCATGATTAATGATATTAATTAATAATGTGATATAAAAAAAACAAAAGTACTGCTTTTCAATTCTAAAAGGATAGATTTAATAAGCAGAGAAGTAATGTTAAGTTGTATTGATCCCATCTCTGGAGTAATGTGTGCAGTTCTGATCCCCATATGATTAAATGGATAGAGGAGCCCTGGATAGAGTGAAGAAAGGATTTATAGGAACAAAATCAGAATTGAGAGGCTGTAATGGTCAGGAAAGATTGGGATTCTTCAGAGTATAGTTGAAGGGTTGATGACAGGGATCGTTTGGTGTTTGATATGGCATTTCGATGAGAACGTATCAATTATAGAGTCATAGAGTCATACAGCACAGAAACAGGCCCTTTGGTCCAACCAGTCCACTTTGATTACAGTCCCAAACTAAATGAGTGCCACCTGCCTGCGTTTGGCCCATATCCCCCCAATCCTTTCCTAGTCATGTACCTGCCCAAATGTCTTTTATATATTGTAACTGTACCTGCATCTACCATTTCCTCTGGTAGTTCATTTCACACATGCACCATCCTCTGTGTGAAAACATTACCCTTCAGGTCCCTTTTAAATTTCTCTCCTCTCACTTTAAACATATGTCCCTTAGTTTTGAACTCACCCACCCTATGGAAAAGACCTTTGCTATTCACCATACCTATGTCCCTCATGATTTTATAAACCTCTATAAGGTCACCCCTCAACCTCGTATGGTCCAGTGAAAAAAGTCCCAGCCGATCCAGCTTATTTTTATAACACAAATCCTCCATTTCTGGCAACATCCTGGTGAATCTCTTCTGAACCCTCTCCAATTTAATAATATCCTTCCTATGGCAGGGCAACCAGAACTGGACACTGTACTCCAGAAGAGGCCTGTTATCCTGTATAATCTCACAACCCTGATACTCAAAAAGCCTGAGCAATGAAAACAAGCATGCTAAACACCTTCTTACCCATCCTGTCAGCATGTGACTCAAATTTCAAAGAATTCTGTACCTGAACCCCTAGGCCTGTCTGTTTTACAACACCACCCAGGGCTCTACCATTAATTGTATAAGTCCTGCCCTTGCTTGTTTTACCAAAATGCAACACCTCACATTTATCCAAATTAAACTCCATCTGCCACTCCTCAGCTCATTGGTTAGGAGAGAAAGCTACTCAGCACCTTAGCTCCTCTGCTGTTCAATAAGATCTTGCTGATCTGTTTACTGCGTATTCCTGTCCGGCCCTGATAGTTCACTGCCCACCACGCACCTCCCACCCCGCCCTCACTTATCAAGAATCTGTCTCCCTTGGCCTTAAAAATATTCAAAGACTCAGCTCCCATCACATTCTAGAGAAAGAAAGCTCCAAAGACTTATAACCCTCCAGTAGAAGACGCTTCTCCTAATTTCTGTTTTAACATCTGCTTGTTGGGATGGCCAAAAGAAAGGGCCATCAATATCAGAAACACAAGGAATAAGAGCAGGAGTTCACCACTCAGCCTGTGGAACCTGCCGCTCCATCCAACAGGGCCCTGACTCATCTGAGGCTCCAACTCCATGTTCCTGCCCGCTCCCTGTATCCTCGATTTCCCCCAAAGTCTGGCACATTCTCAATCCTGATCTTTAATATACTCAACGGTGCAGACTCCACCACCCTCCAGGGGAGGAAACCCCATGGTAATCACCCCTTTGAGGAGATTTCTCCTCATCTCAGTCCTAAATGGTCATCCCCTTATCCTGAGCCTGAGCCTGAGTAGAGGGGGATTCAATTTTCCTCCATGTCTCCCCTCCACTGTGTCAAACCCCTTCAGAATCTTGTAGGTAATGGGACAGTCACTAATAAATCTAGGAAGAACCTCTTCAGCCAGAGACAGATGAGAACGTAGAAACTACTGTTCACACCAATAGTACAGATGTCTTTAATGGGAAGCCAGATAAACACATGAGAAACCACACATGGTGATATGGTGGAGTGAAGAGGGACTGGGAGGAACAGAAGCACTAGCACAAACCAGCTGGGCTGAATGGACTATTTCTGTGTTGTATATACTCTGTAGTTCCATATAATGTATATTGTTTCTTGCTGTCCGAATTCTATAGATGTCTTCGTTCCATAATCTTTGACATGCACTTTGAACTAGTGCCAACCAGAGTGTACTGAAGTGATGGAGACCAGCCACACATTTATTTTTATTCTTTATTCATTCATGGGATGAGGGGCATCACTGGCCACGCAGCATTTATTGCCCATCCCTAATTGCCCAGAGGGCAGTTACAAGTCAACCACATTGCTGTGGGTCTGGAGTCACATGTAGGCCAGACCAGGTGAGGATGGCAGTTTCCTTCCCTAAAGGGCATTAGAGAACCAGATGGGTTTTTCTGACAATCAGCAATGGATTCACAGTCATCATTAGATTGTTAATTCCAGATATTTTATTGAATTCAAATTCCACCATCTGCCGTGGCAGGATTCGAACCCCGGTCCCCACAATATTACTTGCGTGCATGGATTAATAGTCCAGTGACATTTCCAATCCACACTGCCTCCCCTTTAAAGACTTGCCACTTTCATCAGCTTTTCTACTTCCTGTAAATGGCTTGGTTTTTATTTTGCCTGAATACCCTCTCAGGTTCACAACCCCCTGAGAGGTTCATGTATACCCTCCCTAACAACATGAGCAGATCTCTTTGCCATGATATTAATGCCCTTCCGAATCGGGTGCAGTCCAAGCTCCTGATATATACCCTATCTGGTCCAGTACCAGTCCAATGTCTAAAGCCCTCCCTCTCGTGCCATTTCTTCACTCAATCTTAGAGTCATTGAGTCATAAAGGTCTACAGCATGGAAATGGGCCCTTCGGCCCAACTAGCTCATGCCGGCCAATTTTCACAATTAAACTAATCCCATTTGCGTGTGTTTGGTCCATATCTCTCCATACCCATCCCATCCATGTACCTGTCTAACTGTTTCTTATTGATGAAATTGTTCTCGCTTCCACCACTACCTCTGGCAGCATGATCCAGATACTCACCACCCTCTGTGTGAAAAGATTGATCTTCTGGATCCTTTTGTACCTCTCCTGTCTCACCTTAAACCTACACGCCCTAGTTTTAGACTCCCCTAACGTGGGGAAAAGCTGTTGGCTCTCTACCTTATCTATGCCTCTCATGATTTTATAGACCTCGATAAGGTCAGCCTTCAGTCTCTTACGGTCCAGGTAAAAAAGTACCAGCCCGTCCAACCTCTCCATATAATTCAAACCTTCCAGTCCAGGTAATCTTCCGATTTCTATACTCACTATCACATGGTGCTGGGAAGATTATTGCATTGTAAGTCTTGCTTTACAGTCCCATTCCAAGCTCCCTAAATTCTACCTTCAGGTCCCTCTTTATAGCTGTGATATTGGTGCCAAAGTAGGCACTAGCTCTTAACTGTTTCGCGCCCCCCCACCCCCAACAAAAAAATGCCCCGCAGCCGCTCAGTGACCTCCCTAACCCTGGCACCACTCAAAGAATGGATCTAATAAATATTTAAACTAGAAAAATTCACCCAAACTTGGGGAAAGAGCAGGGTATGGGTACAGCTCTTGCAAAGAGCCAGCGTAGGGACAATGGGTTGAATGGCCACACTCTCTGTTGCTATGGATTGATGAGTGAGTACCTGCCATTGTAATTGCACTGGCCATGAGACGTGCCCTTCACATCTCAATGTTTATGCCACCCAATCTCTGTCTCCTCAATAAACCATGATCATCATCATCATCAAATCACTACTGTGTGGGGACAGGCCCTTCAGCCCAGCAAGTCCACACCCAGACCCATCCCCCTATAACACACCCCTGAACACTACAGGCAATTTAGCATGGCCAATCCACCCCAACCTGCACATCTTTGGACTGTGGGAGGATACCGGAGAAAACCCACGCAGACACGGGGAGAATGTGCAAACTCCACACAGACAGTCACCCAAGGGTGGAATTGAACCCAGGTCCCTGGTGCTGTGAGGCAGCAGTGCTAACCACTGAGCCACCGTGCTGCCTGGTGACCTGTTATCTCAGTTAGGGGCCAGTTGAGAGATAGCAACAGAAAAAAATATCTATTTCTATTCAGGTCACTCTACACCTTGTTATCAGGAATTTATAGGATTTTAGCATCTGAACCATGGACATCAGACCATGGGGGGGCAATGGCCTAGTGGTATTATCCCTGGACTGTTTGTATAGAGACTCAGATAGTATTCTGGGGACCCGGGCTGCAGGGTTCCCAAGCGGAATATGAGTTGCTGTTCCTGCAACCTTCGGGTGGCATCGTTGTGGCACTGCAGGAGGCCCAGGATGGACGTGTCGTCTGAGGAATGGGAGGGGGAGTTGAAATGGTTCGCGACTGGGAGGTGCAGTTGTTTGTTGCGAACCGAGCGTAGCCCTGCAGCCCAATGGTATCAATGTGGATTTCACAAGTTTCAAAATCTCCCCTCCCCCCACCGCATCCCAAAACCAGTCCAGCTCGTCCCTGCCTCCCTAACCTGTTCTTCCTCCCACCTATCCCCTCCTCCCACCTCAAGCCGCACCTCCATCTCCTACCGACCAACCTCATCCCGCCCCCTTGACCTGTCCGTCCTCCCTGGACTGACCTTCCTAACTCCCTACCTACACTCACCTTTCCTGGCCCCATCCCCGCCGCTTCGACCTGTTTGTTTCCTCTCCACCTATCCTCTCCTCTATCCCTCTTCTATCCGCCTCCCACTCTCTCCCTATTTATTTCAAAACCCCCTTCCCCTCCCCCTTTTCTGATGAAGGGTCTAGGCCCGAAACGTCAGCCTCTCTGCTCCTATGATGCTGCTTGGCCTGCTGTGTTCATCCAGCCCTGCACCTTGTTGTCTCGGATTCTCCAGCATCTGCAGTTCCTACTATCTCTGATCAAAATATAGAACCAGTTTGGGTGGAGCTCAGAAACAGCAAGGCCCACCAAACATTCATTGGAATGTTTTATAGGCCACCAAACAGTAGTGGGAAGTACATATCAAATAGTTAAAGGTGCAGGTAGCCAGAGGAATGCCCTGTACATCTCAGAGCTCTTCAATCTCTCACCATTTAGATACAATGCTTCTTCTCAATTCTTCATAGAAACTAGGTGCAGGAGGAGGCCAGTCAGCTGTTCCTCTCTGCTCCACCATTCAACATGATCATGGCTGATCCTTCATCTCAACGCCATATTGCTGCTTTCTCCCCTTGATGCTTTTAATATCTAAATGAATCTATTTCATTCTTTAATATATTCAGTGACTTGGTTTCCACAGCCTTCTGTGGTAGAGAATCCCATAGATTCACTATCCTTTGAGTGAAGAAAGTTTCCCTTATCTCAATGCTAAATGGTCTACCCTGTATCCTGACACTGTGTGTTCTAGACTCCCCAGCCAGGGGAAACATCCTTCCCACATCGAGTCTGTCCAGCTTTTCAAAAACTTTCCTGATAAGATGGACAAAATCACATTTTCCCACATTATACTCAGATCTTTGTCCACTCATTTAACCTATCGATATGGTTTTCTTACCTCTTTGTGTCCTCTTCAACAACTTACTTTCCAACCTATTTTTGTGTCATCAGCAAATTTGGCAATCATCCTTCCCAACCTTTTGTCTCAGTCATGTATATAATTGGTAATTAGGAAGAATGCAAGGTAGCAAGAAACATAAAAATATATTGTAAAAGCTTCTATAGGTAGGTCAAAAGGAAAAGATACACAAAGACAAATATTAGCCCCTTACAAGCAGACTCAGAAAAACGTGGGGAATGGAAAAATGGCAGAGAAACTATAGAAGCTTCTTATGTCTATCTTCACAATGAAAATACAAGACATTCTCCCTGAAATCATTGAGATCCAATGGTCTAGTGAGCATGTGGGTCTGAAAGAAGTTAGTAAAAAAAAGAATAGTTTTGGAGAAATTAATCTGACCTACTGTTGACAGATTGCCAGGACGCAATGATCTTCAAGCTAGTGGGTTAAAAAGGGATAACTACGGAGATAATGGATGCTTTAGTTCTAAGCTTTAATTCTGCACTGGTGGTGACAGACTGGAAGGTTGCAAATGTGGTCCCATGATTTAAGAAAGGAAGGAGAGAGGAAGGGGAACTGTTAGTCTATGCCAGTAGGAGGGATCACAGCAGAATCTGTTTGGAAGAATTGATTACAGGATAGCTACAAAATAATTGTCTGATTAAGAGTGAACATGGATTTGTCAAAGGAAAAACTTGGTTTGACAAATCTGACAGTTATTTCAAGCATGTTACCAGCAGAGTCAATCACGAAGAACCAGTAAATTTGATGTATTTGCATTTTCAGGAGACTTTTTGAAGTCCTTCAGAGTTTACAAAGCACAAATGAAACATACAGGATTGGGGCACACTACTGAAAGGGATTGAGTATTGATGAACAGGTAGAAGGAGAGAGTAGGAAGGAATGGGATCGTTCTCAGTGGGCAGGATGTGACTAGTTGGGGTGGGGGAGCACAATGATCAGTGTTTGGGCCCCTGCTGTTCAGGTGGGTGAGGAGAGGAGAGTCCCACTGCTATCCCAACCCCCCCAACCCAGCCAGCCCCATCCCCGTGTGGACACTAAGCTGATTTACTCTCTGCAGTGAGGATTGCAAAGGGACTGGGGTTAGGTGAGAGGTGGGGGAGGGTAGAGGAGGTGTGGGGGAGGCTAGAGGAGGGGTGGGGGAGGGTAGAGGAGAGGTGGGGGAGGGTAGAGGAGCGGGGGGGGAGGGTAGAGGAGGAGTGGGGGAGGTTGGAGGTCGAGGGGGTGGAGGGACTGGAAACTGTGTGTCACAATATAGAGGTGAGGAGTGGGAGCTGTGACCCTGAGCTGCTGGGGAAGTGACAGATGCTAACACTTCCCTGTGGTAACACACCAGAAATCAAACCCCAATATTCCTGGGCTCTTCACTGAAAATAAGATTTTATAAAAGTACACAAAATTCCCCAATGAACCTCACTTTTACTCCAAGGTTATTAGAGAGCATGGAGAAGGTTTCTGCACTTATCATGAATTACATTTTATTACAGAAAGACAGACTCTATATACAGATAAACAATTATCAACCGTCAGCATATAACTCTAACCCCCTTGTTAACTCCCCTTACACACAACACACCCACAGACACACACAGAAACATACAGACACACACATACACACACACACACACACACACACACATGCACGCAGACACACACAGGCACACATACACACACAAATGCACACACAGACACAGACTTACATACAAACATATACACACAGACGCACATGTGACATACACACACACAGGCACACACACACACTCTCACAGACACACACACACATATATATATATAAACACATACACACAGATAGAGGGGAAAACATGTGTGTAATAGATGGAGGGAAAGCTGAGAAAGCAGTTCAGTGATCTCTCTTCACAGGAAGTACTGAGATGGCTCTCATGTTGGTCCCAGTGCTGCTTCTCAGTCTTTCTTTTCCAGATGCTTTCACTAGCTTGCAGGAGGTACAAGGTATCTGCTTCACACTTTTAAAGGTGTCTGACTTATTCATTAAAAGTCATGGGTTATAGAAACTACTGAGAGAAAAATAAACTGATTTTCTTTAGGCTTAAAGTCACTTTTACTGCACAGAATAGAGAAAGCCCCTAAGCTTGTTTGAAGGATTTTCACTGTATATTGTTCACAGCCTCAAGCTGTTTGACTACCTGAGAACCAATCACATTGTTGTTGGCAGGCAGAAAGACTTTACCATTGATATCTAGTTACTAGTCCACAGATCAGACAGCTACTAGTTACTAACTAAATCTTCGCCTGTACATACCTGGGCTCCAGCTCATCTGCACCTTCTCCTATACTGCTTGAACCAGCAGCTGTGTAAACATGGCATACAATGAGGGTCAGATCAGGGGAGGCGATGGCCTAGTAGTATTGTCACTGGGCTGTTAATCCAGAGACTCAGATAATGTTCTGGGGACCTGGGTTCAAATCCCACTATGTCTGCCATGGGATCTGAATTCAATAAAATATCTGGAACTAAGAATCTAATGATGACCGTGAAACCATTGTCAATTGTCAGGGAAAAACCCATGTGGTTCACTAATGCCCTTTAGGGAAGGAAACTGCCATCCTTACCTGGTCTAGCCTACATGTGACTCCAGACCCACAGCAATGTGGTTGACTCTGGGCAATAAATGCTGCCTAGCCAGTAACTTCCTTATCCCATTAATGAATAAAGGAAACAAAAAAGATTACTTGCTTTCTAAAGCATGCCATCATCCTTGTTTATCAAAACAGTCCTTTTCCCATTTCACTCCATAAGCTAAAATACAAAGGCAAAGTCTTCAGACAGGGCTGAGACGTAGCAGGACAGGCCCATATTCCATCACATCATGCAGCCAGATATTTCACTGGGAAGCCTCCCTTCCTTCTGAAATTGAGCTTGCAGTTCAGTACCACAGGTGAATCTGAAACCCTGGTTATAATTAAACTCTGGGCTCCCCTCCATTTCGTTCACAGAATTCTGCACCTGAAAGCAGTCGCTGACAGCATCTCATTCTGCAATGATGTTGGTAACATTTTCCTGGGCATCGAGCGAAACCTGTATGTCATGAACAGTTCAGAGTACCTGCCCCAGCAGTATCTGCTCCGGGTATGTGCATAGATATCTCTCTCTCTATTGGCAGCAGCGTCACACTGTATATGTGACCGTGTGTGTTCATCTGAATGTGTATATGTCTGTGTGTATGTGTGCGCGTGTGTGTGTGTCTGTAAATGTGCATATTTTCACGCAAAATTAATGGTTATCGATTAACAAAACTGATGTTGTGCCTCAGAGATTTCCACTGTTCCCCATCAAACACCCCCAGGACAGGGACAGCACAGAGTTAGATACAGAGTAAAGCTCCCTCTACACTGTCCCCCCCCATCAAACACTCCCAGGGACAGGGACAGCACGGAGTTAGATAGAGAGTAAAGCTCTCCCTACACTGTCCCCCTTCAAACACTTCCAGGATGGGGACAGCACAGGGTTAGATACAGAGTAA